TAGAAAAGAGCGACAATAAACAGAAAGGTAAAAGAGAATGATTTTTCGAGAGGTGCGATATGGTGTTATAATAGAAAATATTATTTATATCTTAATCTTTTACGTAGGTCGAGAGAGTAGATCTGAACCATACAAATGGTACTTAAAAACGATTGAATTACGAATAGATCAAATTAAAAACGATACCATAAATATTTATGATTTTCTATTTTATGACAATTTGTTAAACAAAAATTTTAAATATAGTGATGTAGATAAAAAATTACTGTACTTCGTAGTATTGGTACATGAATGGACCTCAAGTTTATCGGTTCTAAATACCATCGGCCAATCGAATTACAAAAATATTTTCAATTTTTCACGAACATGTGTATTTTTACCATTAAAAAATAACAGTGAAATTCTGTCTCGCGAAGGTGAGACAAAGATTTTTGTTATATGTGTAAGCTGGGCCGAGAAAAAATGTCGGACGCTCGACGCGATGTCGGGACTCGAACCGAGGACCTCGTATGTAGTTCGAAACACTAAGCCACCGCCTTGCCGCGGAGCCACACAGCCCGACACGTAGATCTTAATTAATATCTTACATATGGAAAAGCGCAATTGTGTCAAAGTGAAAATGTTTCACAATATAATCTCAATTTTTTATGCAGGATACGTAAATTTAACAATTCAATTAATAGAAGTGATTACAGACATTAAAGATTTCATAAAAGAAAAATCACGTTCATTAATATTTTATAATGTTACGAAAGAAATAGAATATGGTAAGAGAAAGATTTTTTGCTATAAATAAATATAGCCAAGTAAAAATATTACTTCATTAAAATATTGATTTTTCATGCAGATCATATAGATTTAAGCAGACAACTCATAAATCTTATTAGATCGATTGAATTAGAAGCAAATGAGAGGTTACAGAACCCTAAAGATACAGTGTCGTCAAGTAAATTATTAGAGATTCAATTGTTTGCTTACGGATGGATCCTTAAAATACGCTTTCAAAATATCTACATAGAACGTTGCAAAGGAACTTACCCGGAAATTTTCTCTCGACTACAGGAAGGTCAGTCTTCATTGCCTATGGAAAATCATGACAATAGACAGACAGATAAAAGAATGATTTTTTGCCGTAAAAAAGATGCGATATTGCACCGAAATAAAAATATTATCTTGATGAGTTTTAATCTTGATTTTTTATATAGATCAGAAGAAAAAAACCACAAATGTTTCGAAACGTGAAGCAGAGATAATGACCGAAGATTCATTCTTCAACAATTCTTTTAAAACGAATAATTGTAACTTCTCGTATACGAATAGTTCTGTTGGAGGAAGATTTTTTAATGATTTTCAGCTTCCACTGGATGATCAGTTTGATTCATTGCCTACAGAGAAGAGCGACTGTGAACTGGAAGGTGAGAAAAAGACTGTTTTAGCCATAGAGAGACAAGATATTATATCAAAATAAAAATATATTATTTCACAAATATCTCAATTTTTTCACAGATGAGGAAATAACCGTCAAGGATTTCATGGAGAACATTAAATTAACTAAACGTCAAATAAACAAAAACTTGAAGAGTTTCGAAGAAACTGCAATGGACGTTGATAACGATTCCTCTCACAACATACGGAATACGAAGAGCCGCATACTCAAAAGATCCAACCTTAAAGGCAACCTGGATAACTTGAATTTCCTTCAATTAAGGTTTAAACTGGCAGTATATCGTTGGATTTCTAGTACAATAATTCACAATGCCCTTGGCAAAACTGCTTTCGGTAACATGATGCCAATTCTACGAGACTGTGAACCTACATTTCCCATAAAAGAGGCTAACGAGATGAAAGAAGGTAACAGAAAGATTTTTGTCGCGCAATATTGTGCCAAGAAATGGAAATATTATTTCACAAAAATCTCTATCTTTTTTTATAGAAATTGAGAAAGTGAGTGACAAAGTCACTGATCAGGATAAATTTATTTATATGCATGACGATCATTAATCTCGCTGAATCGCTCCAGGCAACATAATAATATAATATAATAATTAATATATAATATGTCGAATTATATTGTGGTTACGTATTTCTTATTAGATATGTACAAAAACCTACACAATTTAGTGATATCATTACTATCATAAAAGAGATTCTCTACCTTAGAAAAGTAAAAGGAAGTAACTTTTCTTATCTTAACGTAAGAGGACTTTCTTATCTTGATTTAGATATTGACAATTCTGATAAACATGACGTTGCCACGTTAATTTTCACTAATGTGACGTCATGTTTGAAGACAATTGAATAATTTATAAACATTTCATACCTTTGTACACAAAAATAATACAATCAAATTTCATCTCTTTTAATTTCAAATTTACATACGTTCTTTATAAACTCCATTCTTTTATATCCATACAACTTTTTAAAGTTCTTACATATTTTGTTTACAATTAAATAACTTAAACCCTCCTTCTTATAAAAACTACAATTTAAACCATTTTATGATATTATTTAAAAAACTATTTCAAAATTCAGGAATGCCCATATATTAATTACAAGCTTTAATTCTTAACTTTATACAAATCCTTATATAATGTGAATAGACAAGACAGAAGAACCTTTTCAAGAATTGCAGGGGTGCGTTCAGGAATTATGCTTAGATAACTCTTAAGGTTGATTTATACTTGCCGTAAACTGTTAACTTATGCCGTAATCTGTAAAAATTGACCAATCACAGTCGAATGAGAGGGGAATAATCGATTATAATTGGTCAATTTTTACAGATTACAGCATAAGTTAACAGATTACGGCCAGTATAATCCAACCCTTAGGTGCATTTTTTCTATAATATACGTAACGTAAACTATAGCCTAGATTTACCTAGGTGTGATTCCTGAACGCAGTCCAGAATAGAAGATTTAGGCTTCTTTCTTTTCTCAATTTCATTTCCTTGAGCATTGCAAATCAAATGAAAATACAATATCGGTAAACGCGCTATGTCGAGTTATCACGAAATGCCTTCTACTCACCGTCGAGGATTTACGAACTTTATTTACTTTCACTCGGAATGCCCGATTACCAGCAATAACGAATGAGGTATACCTATGTATAAAACGTAAAAAACGTGTTATTTGTTTTATCAATATAAGAGTGTACACTTCATCGTATTAAAACACAACCATTTAAGTATAATTTGCGCGAGGAAAAAAATGTGCATTACGCTAAGGACGAGATAACAAGGGCAGAGAGTAAGAACCAATGGTTGTTAACAATCTGTAAATTATATAAAAGTAGTTACATAAATCAACTACAACGATAATTCACAATATCATCAAATCGATTCAAATTTAATACAATTAACTCTTAAATTCTCGAAGGCAGAAGAATAAATGAAACTGTCGTAATAGTCATACTAAGGAAAATAACATATAAAAATCAAATTTATAAATAATTTACTATAAATAAAAATATTTAAGCTAATAAATATGTGGTTAAAGCAAAGAGCAGAGGTAAATTAAGATATTATTTTATTAACATATAGATAAAATTAGTAATTCTTTTATGAAATGCATCAACACATTTATCATGTTGACGTCACGGATTTCAATTTTCCGTTTTATTGTACTCA